ACTTGCTACATATTGGACACTTGATGTATTACCTCACTCAATCCTGCACTAGCCCTAAGTAGGGTTTATTATTATTGCCATTTTTTTTACATTTTTAAAATTTGTTCTATTTAGTTATACATGACAGCAGAATGCATTTCAATTCATTGTACACAAATAGAGCACAACATTTCAATTCTCTGGTTGTACATGATGTAGAGTTGTACCATTTGTGCAATCATATATGTACCTAGGATACTGATGTCCATCTCATTCCACCATCTTTCCTTCCCCTTACCTTTTCCCCTCCTTACCCTCCCCTTTGCCCAGTCCAAAGTTCCTCTATTTTTTTCATGTCTCCCTGCATTATGGATCAGCATCCACAAATCAGAGAAAATATTCAGCCTTTGGTTTTTTTTTTTGGGTTGACTTACTTCACTTAGCATGATATTCTCCAACTCCATCCATTTACCTGCAGATGCCATAATTTTGTTCTCTTTTAATGCCGAGTAATATTCCATTGTGTATATAAACCACAGTTTCTTTGTCCATTCATCTATTGATGGGCATTTAGGTTGTTTCCACAGTTTAGCTATTGTGAACTGAGCTGCTATAAACATTGATGTGGCTGGGTCACTATAGTATGCTGATTTTAAGTCTTTTGGGTATAAACCAAGGAGTGGGGTAGCTGGGTCAAATGGTGGTTCCATTCCAAGTTTTTTGGAGGTATCTCCATACTGCTTTCCACAGTAGTTGCACCAATTTGCAGTACTACCAGCAATGTATGAGTGTACCTTTCCCCCCACATCCTCGTCAACACTTGTTATTTCTTTCTTTCTTTCTTTCTTTCTTTCTTTCTTTCTTTCTTTCTTTCTTTCTTTCTTTCTTTCTTTCTTTCTGTACTACAGATTGTGGATTGAACTCAGGGACACTCAACCACTGAGCCACATCCCCAGCCCTATTTTGTATTTCATTTAGAGACAGGGCCTCACTGAGTTCCTTAGTGCCTCACCATTGCTGTGGCTGGCTTTGAACTCACAATTCTCCTGCCTCAGCCTCCCAAACTGCTGGGATTACAGGTGTGCTCCACTGAGCCCGGCTGCTTGTATTCTTGATAGCTCCCATTCTGACTGGAGTGAGATGAAATCTTAGAATAGTTTTGATTTGCATTTCTCTAATTACTAGAGATGTTGAACATTGTTTTCATATATTTGTTGATTGTTTTTATATCTTTTTCTGACAAGTGTCTGTTCTGTTCCTTAGCCCATTTATTGATTGGGTTGTTTGTTTTTTTGGTGTTAAGTTTCTCGAGTTCTTTATATATCCTGGAGATTAGTGCTTTATCTGATATGCGTGTAGTAGAGATCTTCTCCCACTCTGTAGGCTTTCTGTTCACATCATTGATTGTTTCTTTTGCTGAGAAGAAGCTTTTCAGTTTGAATCCATCCCATTTATTGATTCTTGATTTTACTTCTTGTGCTTTAGGAGTTTTGTTAAGGAAGTTGGGGCCTAATCTGACGTGATGAAGATTTGGGCCTACTTTTTCTTCTGTTGGGTCTCTAGTCTCATTCCTAGGTCCTTGATCCACTTTGACTTAAGTTTTGTGCATGGTGAGAGACAGGGGTTTAATTTCATTTAGCTGCATATGGATTTCCAGTTTTCCCAGCACCATTTGTTGAAAAAGCTATTTTTTTTTCTCCAATGTATGTTTTTGGCATTTTGTCCAGTATGAGATGACTGTTTTTATGTGGGCTTTTCTCTGTGTCTTCTATTTTGTACCATTGGTCTACATGTCTATTTTGGTGCCAATACCATGCTGTTTTTGTTACTGTTGCTCTGTAGTATAGATTATTACCGTTTTTTAAAAATATTTTTTAAGTTGTAGATGGACACAATACTTTCATTTTATTTATTTTTATGTGGTGCTGGGGATCAAACCCAGAGCCTCATATGTGCTAGGCTAGTGCTCTACCACTGAGCTACAACCCCGATTCCATTATTGCCATTTTTCAGAGGAGGAAATGGAGACATTCAAATTGATAAGTAAACTTGCCCCACAGTAGCCCAGTTGGTAAGTGGTGGGCTCAGGCAGGTAGATACTAGAGCCCATCCTCCTACCATAGACAGTGCTGTTAAATTTTAGAATCCAATATTCTCTAAAACTCTGTTCAAAGTTCTTGTATTCTTTAAATATATTTACTCTACTTTTGAGCATTCTGGCAAGAAAATTTGTGTCCTTTTTATCTATCACATAAAACCCAAAGTTAAAATAGTAACTTTTATGTCTCAGAATTGACAAAGGATGTATTTAAATGTCATTCTTATATTGACAGTTAAAATGATATTCTATCCTCAGTCCTTTTTAGGAGTAACAAGAACTAAATTGCCAAGGCTAACCTCAAACTTACAATCTTCCTGCCTGAGCCTTTGGAGTTGTTGGGATTATAGATTCATGCCATTGCACCTGGCAAAATTTCCTTTCTTTAATTCATTATTTTTCAATTCATATTGAAATTGTTTTACAGATAAATGTTTTAAGTTCTACATTAACATTTCTCAAGGTGATCTTTTTTTTTTTTTTTTTTTTTTTTTTTTTTTGGTTGCTGTTGGGTGCTGGTACATACTAGGCTTGTGTTTTACCATCCACCTGTCATTTAAGTGTGCCAGGTAGTTGGGGATTATGTTAGTTTCTTCATCAGGATCTTAATACTAAAAGTTATGAACATTCTTAAAGTATGTATTTTTTGTTTAAGATGTAATATCATTTTTTTCTCTTCTCCAATTAAATTATAAACCTCATTCAGGGTAGCCTGTACATTTACTATTTCCTTTGTATTTAAAAAAATTTTTTTTGTAGTTGTGATGGACAGCATGTCTTTATTTTATTTGTTTATTTTTATGTGGTGCTGAGGATTGAACCCAGTGCTCCACTCTGCCACTGAGCTATATAGCTCCAGCCCACTTGCCCCAACTCACTTCCTTTGTATTTTAATGTTTTTAAGACATGTACATGCTGTCATCTTCCTATCTGAGTTTCTGTGCCTTAATATCTTTCAGAAGTTGGTGGGAGTTCTGACTGATGCTTTAAACTCATTTTTTTTTTTTTTTTGGTGGTGCTAGGAATTGAACCCAGGGCCTTGTGCATGCAAGGCAAGCACTCTACCAACTGAGCTATATCCCCAGCCCTAGTGCTTGCTTTTTAAAATGATGTCAGGTCCTTCCTGACATCATTTTAAAGGCTTTTGAACCAATCCCTTGACAATTAATGAGGAAGGAGTTTTTCAAACCTTAATTTTAGAAAAGAAGATAACTTTCCAAACTAATCTCTGTGAAGGTATACAGAGAATTTACAAAGAAGTCTGTTGAACCTGGGGCTGGGGTTGTGGCTCCGTGGTAGAGTGCTCGCCTAGTATGCATGAGGCACTGGGTTCAATCCTTAGCACCACATAAATGTAAAATAAAGATATTAAAACTTAAAAATAAATATTAAAAGAAAAGAAATTTGTTGAACATGGCTCTACTACTAACTAGGCAGAGAGAAAGAGTGATAAATTTCAAGTCTGTTATAAACATACTGACTCAAGTCTCATTTTGCTAATGTATGTAATGTACCTGACTCCATACATTAACCCTAATGTATGGAGTTGAAATGTGAAAGTTCTGGGATTTTTTTTATTCATTGCCTTGGGAGGAACAAAAGGAAGCTAGAGTGCAGAGCTGTGAAGAACTGGCAATTTGGCAACTCTTCTTTTTACCCCTCCCCCAAGGATCTTAGCTGTTTGACCCGATTAAACAGCTTTGGGATGGTAGCCAGACTTCTATATGCTAAGGAGTCCCTTGCACAGTGATTTAGTGAGATTTCATCCACTTGGGGCTTCTTAGGGGCATCCTTGCCCCTGGAAGCCTGACTTCGCAGAAGTCTTCCAGTTTTGTCAAGGGGTCGCCAGTGAAGAGTTGTCACTGACTTGAAGCAGACAGACTCTCTGGATGCCTGGAGTCACGTAGGATTATTCATTGGCAAATTCTTTTCACCTTCTATCTAAGTAGTGAAAGGTGACGCCAGAATCTCGAGTGCCACTCCCCGAAAGGGACTCTAGCAACATCCAGTCCAGGTTCTACAACTTCTGCCTAGTTCCTCGCTTTCTTGGTAGCACAGACCGTTTTCAGAAGTTGCCTTAAATCTTCCTTGTCCCTAAACCTAAAGGTCAGATCGCCACATCGCAGCCAGCTCTCCAGCGGGCCGGACTCTGATCTTTTCGAAAGTTTCTGGTGAGGTTGGGGAACTGAAGAGGTGGTAGCTGGGGACCACGCCGAGTGACCACCGTGAATTACGTAACGAAATCTCTGGCTGCAGAAGAGACAGAACCTGACACTGAGACATTCCAGGGGGAGGGGAGTTGCTGTTCTGGAGTCGCCAGGGTCAGTGGCTGCAATTCCAAGAAATCCAGAGAGGAAGGTGGCTGAGAGAAAGAAAACACTTCGGGAACAAGAATATTAAAAAACCGCTGGACCCAGAGCACTAGCAAACGGCAGGACACGTGTAGTAATTTGTTAGAGGAAACGGCAGCCTTCCAACTTTTGCACTGGAACACCGGGATTTACCCTTCGGGGGATTAAAAGCAATGATATGCAAAGCCAAAAGCAAATGAATGGGTTTCAGTGGTTTGTTAGCAATACGTAAATATTTCCTTACAGGAGCGCAAACTCTCTGCAGTTATTTTAAAAAGTAGGGACTCAAACCAAGCTAGAATACTCTCCCGTGCATTTCCACTAGTCCCAGTCGGAAAAGGAGCTGCTAGCGCGGTACTTCCCCTTTAAGACCTGCTAGCTCTCGGGCTCTACAAAAGGGAGTGACCTCTGGGCTTTGACAGCTCCCCTAATAACTACCACCGCGAAGGCCCCGCCCACCTGGCGACCAGCCGCGCTGATTGGCTGGCGGGCCGGTATCCCGTGCTCTGATTGGTTCGCCGCTCCCCCTGAGCGAACCTTTAGAACTCTGAGACAGACAATATTCTGTTACATTGTAGCAAAATGGCGACTGTCATTCACAACCCCCTGAAAGCGTAAGTAAGACTAAAAAATGTACATATTCCGCGTGGTTTCAATATGAAAAAAAAGGCGCCTTCTGCGTGCCGAGCGCTGCCAATGCTCGGCGCTTGCAGGCGCCTCCAGCCGCGGCGGGGCTTCTCTCTTTTCTTTCTGCTCTTACTTCTTCATCTTCTTTTTTTTTTTTCTCCCAGAGCGCAGAAATGTCAGGAGATGCAATTAACAAAAAGAAAATTGTTACATTTGTGTTCTACTTAATTGGCGGACCAAGACTGAGAGCGAGAGAGGGGTTACCAGCAGGAGAGCCAGGCGCTCCAGCGCTTTACAGCTCAGGGGGTCTTGGGCAGCTCGGGGATTGCACGGTCCCTCGAGTCCCCTACCTCGCAGGGCGACCAGTGCCGCGCGGGCGACGGCCGAGCGGGGACCGAGCGCCGGGCAGGGGCTGCCTCGGTGCACTTGGATGAGCCCTGGCCTCCGGAGCCCGAGGCCCCCGCCCCGCTGCTCGGACTGCCGGGGCGAGCGGACAAACCGCGGCGGCTCCGGAGTTTGCAGGGCGCTCTCTGCCTTCAGATCTCTGCCGGGGAGTTTGTGCAAATCTTCCGGAGTTGGAGGACCGCGGGGGGAGCAGCGGGTCCCGGGAGCCCCGGGGCCCAGGTGGTTGCCCCGGGCTTTTCTGCCCTGGCGTCCCTGGATCGTGAAGGCGCTCCGGGCGGTCGCCGGTGTGTCTGCGTATTTGTGGACAAACTGGCTGTAGTAAATTAACGACTCGGGTTAACTTGGGGTTGATTTGGAGGCCGGGTAGCTGCAGGTCTTATGAATGGTGTTCTTTCCTCCTCTAGGTGAAAAGCCGAGGCGGGCGGGGAGGCGGTTTTGGGCTCCCCTTCCGAGCCGGCTGCGTCTGCTCGCGGCCAGAACTAGGGGCAGGTGCCTCCGGCCGCCTCGGGGAGACTTTGAGCGGACGCCCAGATCCCGGACACAGGGAGGCAGGCTGGGCGAGGACTCGCAGGGGCCAGTCCCCGGGCCCGGTAGCCAATTCCTGCTTGCTTTCCTTCCTTCCAGTCGGGGGAACTGTTAAGCCGCCAAGTCCGCTTGCAATCGCGGAGCCGGGGGCGGCCTCGGAAAACTAGTGTCGCTGTGAAAGGGGTGCTATTGGCAGGAACGTTGGCGGAGGGTGGCTCCTATCGAAACGCGGCGCGACGTGGGCTCCAGGGTCAGCACCCCTTGGACCAGGACTTCCCCGCCGGATGAAAGCCCTCTGGCGAGGCGTGGGGGAGGTGCGGATGGGTGTTTGGTGCCGAATTCTCCCCGGTGTGTGGCGGTCGTTGACCCCGCTTCTTTTAACTCTGCACATTCGCGTCCTAAGCCTGGGCTCCTACTGGAGTTGAAAACCAGGTTCGCACCGGGGCGGCGGTAGGGGGCATTCCTAACGCGAAGGAACGCTTAGAGAGAATCGGACGTGTTTACACCAGCTTATCTCCCACTGGTGATAAGGAAGGGGGTAGGAATGTCCCAGGTCTCCGGGGAGATTGGAAGCTGAGGCTCATCAGAGAGGGTTCTGATCCTGGCTTCTGTTCTCGCTCGAAGCTCAGATACATTGCACTTGAACGCCACAGCGTTTCACCCAAGAAAGAAAATGTTTTATGGCAGAATAAATGGGCGTAACTTCGCCGCATCCTAGCTCCAGGTCGCTCGCGCCGCCTCACCGCTGATGCTGGGAGTTTCTACCCAATCCACAACTGATTTGCAATTCCCTTATTTCCAGCCGAAATCACATACTCGGGCTAGTGCCACCTGGTAAACTCAAGTTAGAAAGATCTATTTCGCATGTGCGCAGGGTTTCCTACTGGGAAAGCCATACCCTTGTTGCCGGGGAGCCGGCTTTACGCGCGGGCGGGCGCAATATCTCTACGCTCCAGTGTTCCCTTGCTCACTCCACTTTTTTTTTTTTTTTTTTAAACCACGGAAGGCTGCGTGTTTGGGGAGGATGGGGTAAGTAAGGAACAGAGAAGCGGGAAGAAGAGGGCCAAATCTTGGCTGGTTAGTGGAATTAGTTCTGAATTATACTTGCACTTTGTATAATTAGAAACAGTTGCAGTGTGATGTATTTGTAATTCTGTATTGACACACGCTGGCACACATGCAACACGCCTGCCTGCTTTTTTCTAGGTGGGAGTTGAGTGGTCATTTATAATTAGCTGTCCCTTTTTGCATCCCAACCCCTCTCCCTGGGGGTGAGGGGTGTAAACAATACCACCCCCGCCACAGCCGAGCTTTTTGCGCCCTGATCGGTTTTTAAACTCCTTACGCAGGAGTACACACGTTGTTACTGGGGGAGCAACACCATCTGCCTTTATTTTATAGAAACAACTTGTTTAATAAAACATCTTGTATATTTCATTTGTTTTTAGAAGTTGCTGATCAGGAAACAAAACACACGTGAATAAATTATGCATGGGATAAATTAGAACAAAGCGCAGAGACACATCAAGCCGAAGGGATGGATGGTGGTGCAGGGAGGAGGGGGAGCCCGGAGGATGGTTTGGAGCGCTATGTTTTTATCCTCATGTGTCCCTCCTGACAATGAAACGGAGCTCAACGATATTAGCATTTTCTCTGTGTGCGTTCTGAGTCTCCCCCTCCTTAAAAAAAAAAAAAAAAAGCCAACACCACGGTCGCCCCCTACAGAAACTGGTTGCACAAAGGTTTTCTCTAGGATTGGGATAAAGTAGCTTTAGTTACTGTGCCGCTCAGGTTTCATGCAACACCTATGTAGAGCTCTGTCTACTTTAAGTATGGACTATTTTTCATTAGACTAGCTTTTCCCATGCGGCACATTCAATAATATAATATGGCGATTTGGGCACAATTGGATGGCACAATTTGACCCTCTTAGCTTTAGGGGTCTTCCTTAGGGCCCTAAGCTCGCTCGCTCTTGCTCTGTCTCTCTCTCTCTCTTTAGCAGTTTGGTTTTTTTCCTGGTTGTCTTTGATCTCCCCTCAACTCCCTTTCTTTTTCCTCCTTGTTGTACCCCGCACCCCCTTCCTCTCTGAAGCTGACAGCCTAGCTTCTCTTTCTGTTGTGCCTTTAACATCTTATTACTGCCCAACAGGGTGTTAGAGGCAGAAAAAGGAGCTGCCTGGACTGATCAGATCACAAAGGGGACGCAGCAGGTGGCCCCATAACCAGGCGGTCACATCTGGACAAATAGAATTTAAAAGCACCAATGGACATGTATGATGTGTAAATGTGTATGACGTGTTATTTAATTTAGCAACTACATTATCTGAGCAAAGATGTGTGAGTCAACCTCATTTCTTACATACATAAGCAGGCAAGGGATATATGGAGAAATATGAATTTGACAAAGGTCTGTGTATAAATACAGGTAGGTAACATAAATATGAATTTGAGGTCTGAATGTAAATTAGTGGTATAGCAGGTTGTATTCTGGTTGATTTCTGCATACCAAGGAACAATGCTTTCAATATAAGTTCTAATCTTAGTATTCTAGTTTAGGTAAATCATCTTCCCCCAAATCTGCAAACAACACTTTAAACAATTTACTCTTTTAGTAAGTTATCAAAACTCTGGTTTGTCTGCACTTAACTGGGAATGTCTGCCACCTTCTGCCAGATTTGATTATGCACATATGTATCTATTATTTTAACTGCCTGCTTAGGAAAAGAATAACTGTGATTATGATTTAATTATTCTGTATGAACCAATAGGATTTTACTTCAAGTTAACTGTTTCTTTATAAAGAATGAGACAAATAAGCTATTTGAGCAGGTTTATAACTGTGAAATACATATACATAATTGTATCAAAACTTTTTTTTGTAAGGAGTTACCCTTGCGTGGAGGTATGTGTTGATATCCATGTTTTGTTATTGAGGATACAACTTTGAGAGGTGTAAATACACTTACTTAGTCAAGGTCATGTTTACAGCTGGATCTCAACTCTTCATTTCTTTGTCCATGCTCTCATCTGGATACAGTGTATTCTAAGCTAGAGTGTTTTTTATGCCTATGAAAGTTAGAAGTCAGACCTCATTCTTATTGTGGCAACCAGTTTAGCTGTCAGAGAGGAAGGGGTAGGGGACCACATTCCTGGTCCTAATCTCTTGGCTGTTTCTGTGGGGTGGGGATTGTGGGTAGGGACTAAATGGAGAGCAATGGGGTTAGGACTCTGTGAAGTTGCAGCCTTTTATGGACAGTATTTTAGCCTTTTATGGAAAAGGACCCTCGGATATTTCAAGCCAGCAGATGCCTGAGAACCACCTTCTCCATCTGCCTCAGGTTTGCTATAGTAAAAAAGCTCCAGATTCTCTAAACTTCATTAGCGCACATTATTTTCCGGTGGGATGAATGTCTTGTTTTGATGAGATGCTTGTGAAGGAGATTAATTTCTGGCAGGACACAAGTGGAGGCATTGTCATAGAGTAAACCTCTGAAAATAGCCTGGCCTGCAGACCTCCTAGGGGACATGTGAGATTGCCAGGGGAATGGGAGCTGCCCAGTCCCAAAAGGTGGGCTGGAATTCAGAGGTGACTTTGTTGGACATTTCTCATCCTCCTCTGACTTTTCATGGCAAGGGGGCTAGTTTTTTGGATACATCTGAGAAAGTCCATCATGTTTCCAGCTGTTTTGGAGATGTCTGCTCAGATCAATGCAAGAACTACAATGTCACCGGCAGCATGTTTTGTTTTTAAGAATGGAAACTGAGGCCGATGTTCCATGTTTTGAAGCGCTGTCATGCTGAATGCAGTGGCAGTGGGGGCTGGGTCATATAAAGGCTCCAGAATCCAGGTCTGTTTATTATCCCAACCTCTGCAAAGTAACTTTTGTGGTTTTTGAGTGTTTTGAAAGTCACTAGAAGACAGAAATGGAGCCAAATGTGGCAAACCTCTGGCCAAAAAAATCCCACAACCACCGAAATATTTTTTACCCAGCCGCGATTTTCCATCAGGAGTCTTATGTAAGCATGACCCTGGTTTTAAATAGTCTTTAAATATGAA